TTGTCTTTCCTAATTGTTCATATTTTTGCTTTGTTGTATGCTAGCTATCATTAGTGGAAAAGTGTCCAGAGGCAGCAAAGGTTTAGTGGAAAAAGTATTTGGGAAAGAAGGCCTAAAATTAAGAAAATTCTGTAATAGTATTTCTGTGTGCATGAGGAAGACTGCTGTGATTCACTTTTATTGGTAGAAAATCAAAGCCCATTTGCCAAGCAGCAGTGTTGTGTGGAATATCTCCTGAGCTGTTGGTTTAGAAGAACACTTGGGCTATTTGCAGAGATTTCTTAGTCCTAGCTATTATCTTATTCCTAGAAGCATAGATAAGGTAGCTTACTTTCTGACTGGGTGACTAAAATGAGTAGCTGAACTACCAGTTGGTTTTAGTCCAACTCTAATTTGGTTTCTTCTCTAAATCAGGTGTTAAATAAGGTAGCATGTAATGGTAGAGACTACCATAGGTTTTTACTAGAGTTTTATCTTAGAGTTAGAAGGAAGCTTTGTCATCTATTCTAATATAGTACTAAGGGCAAGAATCCCACTAAATGTAGGTTAACACCTTGCTGACAGGTCTGCGCTTACATTTAATTTAAGTAATTGTAAACACCTTGCTGGTGGAAAAGTAGCCGCCAAATGGGGGAGTTCTGGCTTGAAATAACCCATCAGCAAAGTGTTTAACATACAGTTCTTGCCCTAGCCAGGTTTGCTCAGTGGTTATAGCATCAGCCCACAGGCTGAAGGTTCCTGGGTTTGATTCTGGCTAAGGGCAGATACTGCGGTTGCAGGCTTGCCCCGGTTGGGGCTTGAGTGGGAGGCAACCAATCAATGTCTGCCTATCTGTTTCTCTCCCCCTCTCCCCCTTCCTTCCTCACTCCTTCCCTCCTTCCCTTCCACTCTCTCTGAAAAAGCAATGGAAAAATATCCTTGGGTGAGGGTTAAAAAACAACAATATACAATTCTTTTGAGGATGAAAGAGATGGGGAGACTGTTAAATTGAGTGGGGCCCTGGAGCAATAGGCGTCAAGTGGGGCTGTCCTAGGAAAACAGGTGTGTGATCATCCTAGTATACAATAGTCTTACTAGATAATCATCCAAGCTCTGCCTGAAAGTATTTATTGCCCCACAGGAAAACTAGTGTTCTAATAATTACAAAGTTTAATTAAAAAATTAAAAAGTTTTTTCATTGAGCTTAAATTTATCTCCTTGCAAATACTAACTTTTCTTCCCAGTTTGTCTTTTGGTGCTAAATATAGTCAGAATATAATATATAATATAGTAATATAATACAAAATATATTAGCTCTTCAGAAACCTTTTTGTACAACTTTAAAAATGATTTATTTTTTTTCCCAAAAATCTTACAGTTCTCTTCCTGTAGTTCCAACTTAAGCCCAAATTGAAACAAAGAAGAGAAAAAGAATGACAAGAAAAATGAAAAAAAAGGCCGTATTACTTACTGGTTAAACCACCGGGCTCTGGTATAGGGCACTTCTGGCTGAACACCACTTTATTAGTACATCCGTACATTCTCACTTGTTACCAGGGAGATGATAAGAAGACCTCGGTTCTTGTCTTCTTGAGGGAAAGATTTCAATCAAGAGACAAGGTGTAGAAAAGCAAGCAAGAATTGATTGCAGCAAAAATGTACCTAGGACAGTGAAACAAGGAAGGTGCATAGAAGAAGCAGCAGGAGAGCCTAGGCTGGGCTGCTTTGGCTCACTGAGAAGTCAGAGAGAGAGAGAGAATGGGGCCTTGGAGACAGGGTCAGGGACCTTGGGGTTCAGGGTGTAAAACTGGGACAAGCTGCCATTGCCCATTGCTCCCCTGACTGCAAGTCTTGTGGGGTCCCCTCGGAGGGGAGGAGATGACGCTGGCTTGCTTCCCAGCGGGGGGAGGGGGTGCGCTGGGTCCTTTGTCCTATTTATCTCTTTCTTGCTCTAGGGAATCTTAGGGGAGGTCTCAGGGGAGTGTCTCAATAGAATATTCATCAGCTTTCCAGGTGCGCTCTTTCAGGGTCCTGGTCTCCACTGATTGGTCGGTGCCAGGGCAGGGGGTCATTAGTCAATGTAGCTGGTCCTGATGCAGCCATCAGTGTCACTTGGTCTGATTTTGCTGCTTTTCTGGACCTGGAACTGAAATACAACTGAGTCCTAGATGTTATCTTTAGGGAGGAAAAGGTCAGGGGACTCTTAACCTTGTGACTAGCTATATGAAAAGTCAGGGGGTCCAAACCGAATGACCAGCAATATGCTAGGGGTGGAAAGGTTCTTGTTTACCCAGTTCTCCCCTTGCTAGGCATCCGGGGCTTTTTGCCCTGGTGACTTTCTGTACCTGGCCCTGTCCTTGCTCTGCCCATGTCTATATGGGCATGTCTACCTATATAACAATCTTGGTATGTTCAGACAACATTCAGAGAGGTCTCTACCTTCTCAAAAGCAAAGCTTTCAGTTATTATAATAATATGTTATCACCTTAAGATAGAATAAAGGACTATAGTATAGGAGACATGCCAATTAAAGTAACAGAAACAATAGTTTATAAATGGAAAGGTTGGACTTCAGCTAGAGTTAATCATAGTGCTTACTGTTTTCTTATTAAAAACATTCAGTATATATCTATCTATGAAGAGTAGCTACAGATATGTTTAAGACAGCCCTCTTGTCATTAATTCTTTTTTCCTTTAGGCTAAAAAATTGTGGTTCAGTATGCAACTTTACATCACACGGGACACTATATTAAAGATGTTTTCATTTTTTATGTGCTTTTGCATACGTGTTTTGAGGAGGCTCATAAATAGGACAGGCTATGAGGATAACATTTGAGGTGATGTGTGGAGAGGACACAGAGCCTGGTGCATTGCTGTATATATGTAGGCCCCATCCCATTCCTTCTCTCCCCTCCCCCTTTTTGCTATTTAGATAATCGTTAAAAACAGTAATAGAACCATTACACAGTATGATGAAAGAAAAATTCCCAGCCCAGCCGGGCATGGCTCAGCGGTTGAGCATCGACCTAGGATCTAGGAGATGGAGGTTCAATTCCCAGTCAGGGCACAAGTCTGGGTTGTGGGCTCGTTCCCCAGGTTAGGGCATGCAGGAGGCAGCCGATCAATGACTCTCACATCATTGATATTTCTATCTATCCCTCCCTCTTCCTTCCTATCTCTGAAATCAATAAAGATATATTAAAAAAAATTCCACAAATGGCATTGTCTAATTTGATAAACATGTAATTTGATTTGAACTCCTGTATGGATTTAGTTAAAAGCCAGTTAAAGTAGGTTAATGTATAGAGGCACCAAAAATATCAAAATTACAATGTTGCATTTAAAGTAAATATGGAAGAGCAATTCTACTTCTGGGTATATAGCTGAAGAAACCCAAAACACTAATTTGAAAGAATATGTGCAGCCATATGTTCATTGCAGTGTTATTTACAATGGCCAAGATATGGAAGCAACCCAAGGGTACATCGGTAAATGAGTGCATAAAAAAGTGGTGGTACGTATATACAATGGAATATTACTCAACCATAAAAAAGAATGAAATCTTACCATTTGCAACAGCACAGATGGAACTAAAGGGTATTATGCTAAGTGAAATACGTCTGTCAGAGAAAGAAATACCATATGATTTTACTTACATGTGAAACCTAAAGAACAATATAAATGAACAAACAAAACAGAAACAGACTTATAGATACAGAGAACAGACTGATGGTTGTCAGAGGGGAGAGGAGTTGGGGGACTGGATGAAAAGGTAAAGGAATAAAGTATACAGGTTGGTAGTTACAGAATAGTCTTGGGAATGTAAAGTAAAGTATAGGGAATACAGTCAGTAATATTGTAGTCACTGTGTATGGTGCCAGGTAAGTAGTGGAAATATCCAGAGAAACACTTTGTAAGGTATATGATTGTTTAATCACAATGCTTTACACCTGAAACTAATATAAAATAATATTGAATGTAAAAAAACAACAACACTTTGACTAAATTAAAAAGAAACACAAGGAAATATGGAAGTTCTATGCTATAATGGATAGAGATAGTATTGACTGAGTTACTGGACTTTACTGTTGACATATATAAAGTGTTCATTATAAATTATAACTTTGTAAGAATAAAACTGAAGGTGTTAGGTAGGGCAGTTTAAATAAATTAGTATCTTTTATAAGTTTCAAAGCTTTACTTCTGAGATCATATGTAAAAGTATCTAATTGTTTTCATTGCAGTTACTTGAATAAATTTTGACAGGTTTTAAAAATGAGTGGGTCATTCTGGGGGAGCACATTTATGTATTTGATGTGTAAAGAATGTTTCTTGTGAAGAACTAGAGGAGAGCTGTTTTGTAATACAGGATTTTTTTTTCTTTAGTGTAGTTCACCTGCAGTTGCAGCATTAGTAGTAGATTGCAAAAGAGGTTTACTTTGTTTTGACACCTTCACTTACTTCTTTTAGTTGATATTCTTAGTGTATATCTGTACTTTACTTTTATTTGCCTTTATGTGCTCATCTAACATTTTTTCTCTTAGAAGTATAATTATAGATGACTAAATTAGGAATTCTCCTGGGTACCTTGTAATGGGAAACATGGGAGATGCTTTGTGACACCAGGGAGAGTGCTGCTAGCCAGGCGGGTGGGGTGGTCTAGTGCCTACTTGGTATTGTGGTTGTATCATTAGGAGTTTTACTTTTCTTTGTAATACACAGTGATTGATACATGGTAGACAGTGTTTACTGTGGGATTGAATTAATCTGAATCTGTTTGTAGTCATGAATATTTTTCTTTGTAAATTTTTAACAGTTTGAACTTTATTGTAAAGAAACTATAAAAATTCTTGAGTTCTTAGTGACTAGTTAGGTCTCTTAAAATTTTTGTTCATCTTTTTAAATGCTATTTTATTTTCTTTATAGCTAAAAAGTGACCCTTTGAAATGATTTTTAAAAATTAGCATAAATTAAAAAGAATAGAATTACTTTAATATTTCTTGCTTCCTTTATTCTCTTAGCTTCACAATGAAGAGGATAATTCAGAATCATCTACTATAGAGCAGCCATCAACTTCAAACCCAGCACTGCAGATCGTGCAGACTACTCCTTCAGCATTAGTACTCGAAACTGACTCTTCTCCCCCACCTTACAGTAGTATTACTGTGGAAGTTCCTACAACTTCAGGTATTGTTGTTTTTATTATGAAACAACTAATAATGTTTTTAATAGCTCATGTTTTTTATTCATTTATTTGTTTTTTACCAGTATCGTTTTGTGTAATTATCATGTCTATTAATAAACTTTGGTTTTATGAATTTTTTTGAAAAAATATTTTCTCAAGGATAGTTTGTAAAATATTTACTTCATTATTTGTCTCATATTGTTCTTTTTAAAATTTAATTGAAAAGTGTAGCTATTTTGCCCGGCCGGGTGTGGCTCAGTGGTTGAGCATCGACCTAGGATCCAGGCGATCAGGGTTTGCTTCCCGGTCAGGTCACATGCCCGGGTTGCGGGCTTGATCAATGACTCTCTCATCATTAATGTTTTTATCTCTCTCTCCCCCCTCTCCTTTCCTCTCTCTGAAATCAATAAAGGTATATTTAAAAAAGAAAAGAAAAGTATAGCTATTTAAACTTTCTTGTGTCTATTAGAATCTATTCCCAATGAACTAACATGTAACTTTTGGAAGAAATGAACAAACATTTATAGATGTACATGTATGCATATATAAATATACACAGGTACACACACACACATACATATATGTGTATGTTTGTGTAAGTGTATCTACTTACACAGTCATAAAACAAGGTGTTATTGATGAGTGTGAGTGAAAATGTGGAACATGTTAACAGAGGTATAGGGTGTACATAATGTTATCCCATACACATGATAATAATTCTTGGACACGAGGTAGTGACTCCTGCTTGCTACTGTTCATCTTATCCTTTCAGGTCATTCTAAGGAACTACCCTCATCTATTTTTCTGGCCACAATTTGCATTTTCCCAGCAACACTAATTTAATCATTATAGTGTTTTAAATATGATTTTGTATACTATTATAAATAACCTCTAAGTATTTTATATATTCTTTATAAAACATTTTAAAACTCAATTGTTGGAAAACATTTTAATGTAAAAAAAATCTTTCATTAGAGTATTTCATCTTTCTTATCTCATATTCTGTAATTAGTGTCATCTACTTCAAACTCATGCCAGCTTTCTCTGGTTATCATTTTTGCTTGTCCAGATTTTACCTAGACCATATGGGATGTGTAAAAAGACCTGGTATTTTTTACACCAAATTTATTTACTTTTTTATGCAGTTAGTGAAAATCATCTCTGTAAAGGTGTACTCACTAGTTAAATTAATAAAGGCTTACTTCTTCTATTTGTATATAATGTTATTTGATTAATGTGCTTGTTCAGTGCCCAGTTTGATGCACAGTTTTTATGCTGATGTGTATCAGTTTTATTTGTCTTTGGCTATAAGATTTAATGGCTGGATTTGTGCTTTCTAAAATTTATTATGGGCTAACTTTTCTTCATTATTTTACAAGTTTCCAGAGTATATAGTACAGTGAATTTACTACCCTAGATTTTTTTTTTTTTAACTTATTTGATGATAATCTTGGAAGAAGAAAATCCTGAAGATGTCTACTTGTGAATGATGGAAGATACCAAAAATGAAATTGTAATCCCTTTGTTGTGTCTACCATTGCTATGCTGTGTATCAAACTACCTTAAACTTACTGGAGTAAAGTAGCAATCATTTATTATTCTCAAGGTTTTGTCTGTGAAATTATGGGAAGTAAATTAAATTCTTTGAGCATAGCACTTGCTTACCTCTTTTATCTTGCACTCCTTTTCAAAATATTATTCTTGAGGTTCTTATTTTGTGTATCAGCCTTTAGATAATATTATCAGTCCTTTATCTTTATAATAAATATAGGACTAAGATAATATATATGATTGTAGTAGTAATTTCTATGTTTTATAGCTTATAACGTTGTACTACAATAGCAGTAATTGTCTTTAGTGGCCTGCGTGTTGTAAATTATTAAATTATGTTTTGGCTATAAAAATTATATCAAATAGTTCCTTTTAATGGTTTTGCTCTTTAAATTCCTTTTCTTCAGATACAGAAGTTTACAATGAGTTTTATCCTGTGCCACCTCCATACAGTATTGCTACCTCTCTTCCTACGTATGATGAAGCTGAGAAGGCAAAAGCTGCTGCAATGGCAGCTGCAGCAGCAGAAACATCTCAAAGAGTAAGAAAATTTTACTTCCTTTTAAGAATATTATTTTTATTAGTTGATATGTACATTTAGTAATATCAAAAATAGCAGTCTGTATTTGAGTGTTTGTGCCTGTAGATGTTTTTAGTATTTTACTACTACTTACGTGTGCCATTTTTTAGTGAAGCTGGTACTCTCCTAGTTAAATTCACCTTCTCCGTTCCCTGACCTCCTCATTTCTATTTCTGTTTCTTTTGATCTTCCCCTTTATCCTATCTTACCTTGTGGTCATCTTGACCTTATCTTTACCAGTACAATTATCACTTTCCAATTCTTGATTTTAGGCATCTCATGTGCTCAACTTAACCTCCCATCCTTCTGACTCACCCTAGTTGTTCTCTTTCACTTAGACCTCAAGTCCATCAACCTCTTCTCTGTCGATGTCCTTATTTCCCTCCTTATGTATAGTCCATGGTCCATCACTATAATAAATTACCTTTTTCCCCCTATTCATGTTTTGTATATTAGCATAATCAGTCTAGTGACTATGAGTGAACTCAAGGTAGGTTAAAAAGCACAGAGAAAAAACAAGGCCTTCAAATTAAGTTTTGTCAATTCACTTTTTTTTTCCAGTTCAATTTTATTTTGTCCTTTTAACACTTCCCACCCTAGAATTTTGAATGATGGTCAGGGATTTTACTTGCCCTTTCTCCCTCATCTTCCTATCTTAGTAATGGAGATAATCAGTGATATAAATATATGTTACTACTTGTTATGGCAAAAGGAGTGACTGTCTCGGTAATGGAGAATCAATAATATACATGTATGATCTTCTACAGCTGGGTAAAGGCAGAAATTATAAATTACATTTTAGTTTGGCTGCAAGCAGGACTAGGGTTTGTTTCCTTTTTTTCTTGCTTCAGACTTTGAGATGTTATCTCAGATCCCTGAATTCATCCCATTTTGTTCAGGAAAAAGACAGAAAAAAGTAACTTCACCCAAGAAAGCTAGAACTAGGTAAGGGTCTGAGAGAGGCAGACATTTCTATGTACAGCATTCTCCTCTTGCTGCCATTAGGCCAGAGCCCAGCAAGTAGATTCTCTGGGAATGAATGTTTTTATTGGATGGGTTAGTTTCTTCAGCTACAGACCTTTCCATATCTGCTCCCACCCGCATCCTCCAGCGCACACACAGTTTAACATCAGCATAAATGGCTTTGGGCACGTAAGTAAAAGCAGTAAACCCAGATTTATTATTTATTCCCTTTTCCTCTCAGGGAAAAAATAAGTCTCTTAAAATGGTGGCATAAATATACCTCAGTCAATAAGGATTTTTGATGTTAGGAGGGGAGAATCCTAAAGAAAGATGATAGATCTATGAAGTGTGGAGTTTCTACCAAAATCAACTACAGGTTGCTTAGCACATATATGTTTGTGTGTGCATTTGTGTACACGCACACACACTCAGTGAAGTAGACTGCTGGGGTCAGAGACAAAAACTTTATTATTCACATCAATAACTTTAGCCAGAATATTAACATTTTCTCACAGTTTCCTGAGCCTTAGTTCCCACAGGGCAACTCAGAGATGGCCATGTGATGCCTCCACACACGCAGTGTGGAATCCTGAATTAGGGATTCCAGTATTTTCTACTGGTAAAAAAACATGCCCACACCTTTGTTCTGGAGAGAAACATGATCTCTCTCTCTTTCAGAGCAGTCAGCTATATAAACCTCCTTGAAAAGAAAGTGCAAAACAGGGCAGCCAGTGCCTCTGCCTGGAAGACATGCAGAAACATGAGACTCGTGGAGAATTATCTCTGACAGTAGTCCACTATTGATGAACACTTACGTGGTGTCTAATCTTTTGCTTTTATTAATGTTGCTGCAGTGAATTATCTTTAATACATTTCTTGTAAGTGGGAGTATATCTGTACATCTGTACAGTGTATTTGAAGACCTAGAATTGCTGGGTCAAAGGGGGTGTACATTTATGCTTTTGATAAATATTGCCACCATTGATTATGAAAGTCCTGTTTTCCATTTGACACTAATGCAACAGTGTTACATCTATCTTTCTTAATATAATTTTCATTAATTCAGTTTATTCAACTTTTATCTTTTTTGTGTTTACCTTTTTTTAAAAAAAATTTTTACTTTTTATCCTCCCCCTAGGATATTTTTTCCATTGCTTTTCAGAGAGAGGGGAAGAGGGAGAGAGAGACAGAGAGAAACATCTGCATGAGAGAGACACATCGATTGGTTGCCTCCCACACGAACACCTGCAACCAAGGTACGTGCCCTTGGCCAGAATTGAACCCAGACCGTTCAGCTTGAGGACTGACGCTCTAACCACTGAGCCAAAGTGGCCAAGGCTGTGTTTACCTTTGAAGTTACACTTTTTAAGGGTGCCCATGAAAAATTAACACTTGCTAGACATTGTACTTGTTATCTTATTTTGTCTATACAACAAATTGAGGACATTAGATTTTCTTTAAATTTTTATCTTTATAGTCAAGGTAATAAAGTTGTGATTATTTCAGTGAGCCGTTCTAATGTCTCATGTTTTACAGATTCAGGAGGAAGAGTGTTCACCAAGAGATGACTTCAGTGATGCAGACCAGCTCAGAGTGGGTAATGATGGGATTTTCATGTTGGCGTTTTTCAGTAAGTGATCTTTCTTTTTCAGACTATTTTTGTGTGTTCATGTATTGGCTATGTGTTTTTAAAATAAAAGACAGTGAAGAAAGGCAAATATTGTTAGCATGTGTCTACCTTGTTATGATGTAAACTGTTCCTGATAGTAGCTAAGTGTGATCATATGTTACAGTACAAATCCTAGAATTTATTAAACACTTACCGGGTAACTATGTATTGTAGTCATCATGCTAGATGCTGACTGTATAGAGATATATAAGCATGTTTAGGCTAAATATAGTTTTGTATGAGAAATGCTGCATGACCATTAAGTATTGGAGGAGCATGTAGAATGAAACTGTAAATTCTACTTTTGAGGCAGAGGACTTCCATTTGAGTGTCCTTAAACCAGAAGAGAGGTTGGAAAAAGAAATATTCTGGGCAGCTAGAAAAATGTGATTTGATACACAAAAGTATGAAAGTGCAAGTCTTTTTTGAAGGGAATGGTGAGCCGTTAGAAGCCCAGAAACCTAAGTTACATTTTGTAATATCTTGCAAAATTCTTAATTTAATATTTGACTTATCAAGTAGACTTAAGATACTTGAGGGAAGCTGTGTTATAGTATTTATTATTTCAGTTTCTAATTGACACATTGTAAACAGTAAATTAGATTATGAAACTCAATAAACTGTTTAAATTGCTAGAGAGAGAGGGAGAGAGACAAACATCAATGTGAGAGTGAAACATGGATCGGCTGCCTCCTGCACACACCCTACAGGGGATCAAGCCCACAACCCAAGAATGTGCCCTGACCAGGAATTAAACTGGCAACCTTTTGGTGCACAGGAACGACGCCCAACCAACTGAGCCACGTGGGCCAGAGTTCTTGCTTACTTTATTTTATTTCATCTTCTGAATCATAGAAGTAGATAACCACTCAGAAATGGGTTTGTGAATGGGGGGGCAGTTATATTTTTCTCTTCAATTTACTGAATTATATTCTTGGCACCAACTAATGTAAACAATACTTAAATACGATGTTAGATAATGTGCAGAGGAAATGAATTAACACTTTGGCTACAAATAACTACTGTTTTTACTGTTAGCCTAGTGAACCTTGTTTTTTTCCTTAGTTTTAGTTTAGCTGATAACTTCATATTCATAGCACACTTCCCACACATTTTGATTACAAGAGTCATGTAAATATTGATTCCTTAATTAGAAAAGAATTTAAATTTATTGTACTATGTGTAGTATAAATACCTGTTTGTTAGGAATAAAAACATGTTATTTGACACTACCTAATTATTTGACTCAGCTTAATTATTATTTCTCCATTTCTGTAGTTCTCTAAACCATACTATCTTCTTTTTAGTAGTTCTTAGTTTTTTAGATTTGAAACATTTTACTAATGTAACAGTGTTGTAAATTCATGATAACCTAGACACTTGATTGACTTTATTTTTGGCCACTGGTGATATGTTAATTAAGGTAATCCAAGTATTTATAATTAATATATTTAATGTAAATTATCTGACTTATATTAAAGTTTTACTGAATTATGTTTCTACAGTTTATATTTTTATACTATTTCATAATCTACAAATACTACACTAACATTATAAGAGTAAAATTGTAAATTATTTTTTATCTTGTATATTTTTTCTGGTAGCTGTAGGCCAAAGCTTGAATTTGTTTGCTTTAATGAGCATAGATTTATTTGTGTACACTACCATCTGGTGGCTGTTCTACAAATTGCAACTTGCTGTATTTTCCATGCTCCTTAAACTATCTAGCAGTTATTGTCTAGATTGTCCCATTGTCTATTTCAAAGGTTTAGAAACAGATTTTCTTTAATGTGGTTTATAACTTAAGCATTTCGAGTTATATAAGTTATACAAATAAAACGGTAGTGAATATCAATGATAAAATTTCAGTTCAAACCTTTCTTTCTCTTACCACGTGTAACCCTAAAAAAAAAGCTTTCACCTAAATATGGTAAGATAATTGCATGTTCATGTTCTGAAAATGTGAAGAAAGAAATGTATGTATCCCCTGATAATGTTTTAGCTTCCATCGTCCCTTGAAGTGTCACTGCAAAATGCCTTTTACCTACCTAGCTGCCTGTCTCTGATTTTATATTTAACAGATTTTCTTTCTAAGACAATGGAAGTCAGTTATTTATCAGTTAAAAACTAGAAATTAAGATTTTGTTCAGTGGATAATTGACAGTCTGTGGAAGGGACCCTAAACTCTATTACTTAAAAGCGTAATGTGCTCTATCTAGAATTTTTTTCTTCTAAGGTTGAGCCTTTTGTGTAACATGTGAATCTTCACGTTAGCATGCTATAATAATAATTAATCATATGCATTATTTCCATTTTAGACTTGAGTATCTCATAATTAAAGAAAAATTAAGTTAATTGTATCTTTAAAAAGAATTAGAAGAGTGTTTCGAAATGTGAATTCTGACTTGTAAGAAATTACCACTGTTTTTCAAAGTGGCTGTACCATTTTGCATTCCCACTAGCAGTGGGTGAGGGTTCCTCTTGCACTGATCCTCATCAGCATTTAGAATTGACATTTTAAAAACAGACATTTCAGTAGATGTGTGGTGGTATGTTATTGTGGTTTTAATTTGCATTTCCCTAACAGTTAATGACGTTTTGAGCACCTACCATGAACATGTCATAAAAGTTAGTTATTAAAGGGGTTGTTTGAGCACCACACATATGAAAAACAGTATATTATGATTTATTCTGTGCATACAAAGCTGTGTTTTTTATAGCTTTTAGATAGATAGCAGTAGCCATTGTAAGTGAATCCAGAAAGGCAAAATTTAAAAATTGTAACTATAGCTTTAAAAACACAATATTTGTGAAATATTTTATTTTATTGAATTTGTTATATTTACAAGAAGAAGAATTTTTAATTTAATTCTCTATAATTTAGTGGAAATATCCTAAAGCGATGTGTGTGTGTTTTTTTTTAAAGATTTTTTAGTGATTTTTGTTTTTGAGAGAGAGAGAGAGAGAGAGAGAGCGAGCGAGCGAGCGAGCGAGAGTGCGTGACTAACCGATCTCGATGTGAGCAAGACATCAATTGGCGGCCTTTACCGGGGATGGAGCCCGAAACCTGTGCATGTGCCCTGAATGGGAATTCAGCCAGCAACTTTTGGTACATGGGACAACAAAGAGCCTAAGGATAAGACAAATTTATCCCTATGTAGTTCAGAATTAAGTACAGTGAAATTGATTATTCTTTGAGAATTTATTTTTTAGAAACCTGGGGCATTTATATGGGATAAAAATTTTTCTGTGATCAAAAAATTATTAAGTTCTCAATGTTTGTAGTATGTGTATATTTATCATCTATAATTTTCATTTGTTTATTTTCAAAGCAAATATCAAGTTTTTTTTTATTTTAAATTTTTTATTTTGATATACTTTGAAACTTAGGAAAAAGCTTTAAAAATAGTACAGTTCCTATATAACTTTTATCCAGCTTTTGCAAGCCTTAACATTTTATGTAACTTCAGTCTAATCAACATTTGGAAATTAATATTGATGAAATACTAACTGGTTTACAGATCTTATTCAGATTTTGCCAACTGTCTCACTAATGCCCTTTTCCTGATCCACAATCTAATCCAGGATTACACATTGTTTTTAGTTGCCATGTTCCCTTGGTCTGCTTTAATCTGAAACAGTTTCTTAATCTTTCTCTTTTCTCCTGTGACTTTTTCTTTTGAAGAATACCGGTTAGTTGTCTCTCTCTTTCTCTCTGCAAAAATACCACAGAAATGATGTGCGCTTCTCAGTGCATCATATCAGGAGGGAATGATCCAGATTTGTCTTACTGCTAGTGATATTTACTCTCATCAGGTTAAGGTGATGTCTGCCAGCTCTCTTCACGATAAAGTTACTGTTTTCCCCCTTTAATTAAGTGTCTTACGGCTACTGAAAATTTAAAAGTATAGTCTTTCTATAGTCTTTTAATGGATTGACTAGCATACAATATTACTTTTTGGGTTATCCTGCTAACCTTTCTGGGTAGGTGGGAGGTATAGATGGTGAAAATAAACAGGATTATGGTGGGTCAAAGACTCAGATGTTTCAGTCCTAGCTATACCACTTATTTGCTTTATGACTTTTATGTGCAGCTTAACTGTTCTAAGTCTCAATTTGTCTGTACAATGGAATTAATTTGACCTTGCCCTTATTAAAAAGCTAATGTGAGGAGCAAATGAGTGAAAATATGTGAAATGTCATAAGTTATAGAGTTCTGTTAAGTGAAGGGGTAGTAATGTTCTCCTTCCTCATCCTTACCTGGGAATTCCCCTTTTAGTTATAATAAGTAATAGGATTTAAAATGATTGGCAGCCTTCTTTCAAATGTTATTAACCTGTCCGAACCTGCCTGATTTGCTTTCTTACAAAGAAGGGCACGCTGAAGGTGAATGTGGAGAAGTGTAATTGGAGCAACAGTAAGCATTCTTTACCAACTTTCCTGAGTTTATTGTCTTGCTTCCCTGCTGCTTGCTCCCCCAAATCTTACCTAAGGAATATAGGCTGTGTAAGCTTGTTGCTTCTTTGGATTTCATCGTGGGCTTTTCTGTAAGGGGAATAGGTGCACTATACTTTTTAAGCTTCCTTATTTTACCCTAGGTTTCCAGGGGAACATGACATGAGTGAAGTAGAGTTGAAGGAAAAGTATTGTCTTCTTTCCTAGGCATGTATAATATGTTCTGCCTCTACTACACATATCTTTTTGCAGATTTTACAGGTTTACTGTTTAGTGTACAGTTATTAAATTCTCTTTTTTGCCAACTCTGACCTGTCATAGAGGATCCAGAATTGAATCCAGAAATGATTCTGCCCTTTAAGACCTATTCTGCTTTACTTTCTATCTTATAGGCTAAGGGGCATAAAAAGTGAATCTATCTATGCTCAAGTGGTCAGCAGCTTCACTGTTTTCCTAGTGCTTAAACCAATTAAAGATGGTTATGTATTTGTCTATTTGGTTCTGCCATAACAAAATATTACACATTGGGTGGCTTACAAATGGAAATTAATTTTCTCTGAATTTTGGAGGCTAGAAGTTCAAGATCAGGATGCCAGAAAATTTGGTTTCTAGTGTAGGTTCTCTTTCTGACTTGCAGATGTCTGTATTCTTGATGTATCCTCATATGGCCTGTCCTTTACATGAATGTGGAGAGAGAGCTCTGCAGTGTCTCTTTCCTCTTCCTGTGTGGATACCAATCCTATCAGATTGTGGCTCTACCCTTATACCTTCATTTAATCTTAATTACCTCCCTGAAGCCCCTGTCTCTAAATACAGTCACATTAGGGGTTGGGGTTTCAACCCATGAATTCTGAAGGGGCATAGTTCAGTCCATAACAAGTTATTGTACCTGAACACAGCTTGTAGAAATCCATACCACTTGCAGAGAGCAAAAAGAAAACATGATGGCTCAGTAAATTCTTTTTTTTTTCTTTTGGATTTTATTCCTAGTGTGGGTGCAATATGTATAATAGATATTGGTAAATCTGGTTTGAAGAAATTAATTGGACAGTGTTTGAGTACATACTCAAATGTAAAAATATACTTTTGGAATATTTTGCTGTTTTGGATTTTCTGCATCAATGCTTCCTGTTTTAACAACATGGCATACTTAACAAAATGATAGCATTTTTATAGCACACTGGGATAAAAGAAGAAGGTGCTCAGGGCTGGTGGCAGTCTGTCCTCTGCCCCAGACCTCACCTCCCTGCCCTGAGGCCTGAGGAGAGAAATCTCTCAGCCTACACTAACACATATGTGGCATACCAGTTGGGAATCTCTGCTGCTATTAATTGATGTAAATTCTTTATTTTAAATACATGTAAAATTATTTTTGATTGGTAAGTGTTTTGTGCCTTCCTCTACAGCTAACAAATATTAGCCAGTTAGATATAGAGCAGTTATGTCTAATAGAACATTCTGTGATGATGGAAATGAAATATTCTATACCTCTGCTGTCCGTTAATGTAGTAGCTACAAGCCACATGTGACTCTTGAGCATTTGAAGTTTGACTGGTGCAACGGAGGAACTAAATTTTTAATTTTATTTAGTTTTAGTTAATTTAAATAACCTCTTTTATACAGGACAATGAGTTCCTGGGCACAAGGAAGAAGCAGTGTGGCTAGTGGCATTGGATAGCCCAGATATGGAGGATAGCAAAACACTGATTGATATCTAGGTTTAAAAAAGAAAAAGTAGGAAGTTAAACAAGTTTTATTTCCAATAGTGTCCACTGAAATTTTTTTCTACAGAAAAGGTAGGACCTACTCTATAAGGTAAAGAGATCATTTTGTATGGCTAGTAATGATAGCTAACACTTCAGCAGGTACCAAGTGCCAGGTTCTATACTGTGCTTAGCTCTCTACATTCATTATCTTAATCTTCTTATCAACCTTGTGAAGTAGGTACTTACAGATGAAAGAACTGTGGCTCACAGAAGTCTGCAGTGAGTCCAAGGGCACATATCTAGTAAGTGAGTCCACTTCGACTCAGATACGAGTCTCTTATTTCAAAACATATTCACCTATATCAGAGTGGCGTCAGCTACAACTAATAGAAAACCGTTACTCAACTGTTTTAATAGTTTGGAGATTATCCCACAAGACAAGAAGACCGTGGATGAGCAGTCTAAAGGCACAGAAGTATCAGTGTTGTGGCTCTGCTTTCCTTTGTTTTTCTTCACTCTCCCCAACTTGGAGTGAGGGTTTAATCCTCACGCTGATAGCAAGATTCCAGCAGCAGTTCCAGATATTATGTCCAAACTTCCAGAGGAAGAGGAGGCACCATTTCTTCTTTTCTTTTTGCATAAAAGTAGGCTAAAGTATAATAAATGTCCATGTGTCCATCACCCAGCTTCAAAAGTGATGCATGCAGAACCGCTGTTAGTTACTTAACCTGAATCCCATCCTCCCTCCCCTTGCTGTGTTTTTAAGAGCCATGTAATGTTTTTCAGAAGTTCTATTTTTTTAAAAATAATTGGAAGGCAGTTTTGGCCTCCTGTGATTTTCCCCCAGACTACTTGGGACCCACCTTTTTGGTATAAGTATGGGACCTAGCCTTCCCTGAGGAGTCTGTAGAGGTGGGAGGGTTCCTGGGAAGGGGCAAAACAAGTTTTGTTAGAGAGGAGGAAGAGGCAGTGAACAATATCTGTTCTGGGAACCTTCTTTTATATTTTATTTGGCTCATTTTTAATATTGGCTGATTGGTTGGTTGATTGCTTAGTTAGGCTGGGCTTCTTGGATGGGATCTCATGGAAGCTACATTGTGACCTGGTTTTTATCTGGTATAAAAATGTTTCACCCATTGGTGATAAGCTTTAAGGATTTTATTCTTATTGATTAAACTGACAAGAAACCTAGTTTTTTTATTAATGTCTGGTAAATAACATTTGTAAAAGGTAAACTATAGTCTATAAAGAAGGCTTAATTGGTACAGAGTTAAAAAAGGAAAGGGAATTGCTATTTCCATTGAGCAATGAAGTATTGTTAATATCAATCTCTGTTAATTTGTTTCCTAAGTATGGTTTTTTTAAAAGAACTGTTTCTCTTGCTTTTAGTGGCGTTTATTTTCAACTGGCTTGGATTTTGTTTGTCCTTCTGTATCACCAATACCATAGCTGGAAGGTATGGTGCCATCTGTGGATTTGGCCTTTCATTGATCAAATGGATCCTTATTGTGAGGGTGAGTGTCTTGATAACCTCTATCACTTCTACCTTTAAAATTAAAATATATGAAATTTCCTGTGAGGCTTTAATCCTCAGGCTGATAGCAGTATTCCAGCATCAGTTCTAGATATTATGTCTAAATATCCAGAGGAAGAGGAGGGATCATTTCTTCTTTTCTATTTACATAAAAGTAGGCAATAGTATAATAAATCTCCATGTATCCATCACCCAGCTTCAAAAGTGATCCATTTATAACCACTGTTTTTCATGTGCATAAATTTATTTATATGCATAAAATTTATGCATTATTAAGTAATGCATCATTTGTTTCAAGACTTATTCTTAACTTCTAGACTTTATTATAGTGATCTCTGTGGTGTGAACATTTATAACTTTATTTATATGAGAGCTTGTTAGTGCAGTAGTTCCTCCCTTATCCGCAGTTTTGTTTTCTTCCGTTAGTGTTAACCTGCGGTCAGCCATGGTCCAAAAATATTAAGTGGAAAATTTCAGATATTTTGAGAAAAAGAGAGAGCACATTAACATAACTTTTATTGTAATATATTGTTATAATTGTTCTATTTTATTGTTAATCTTTTACTATGCCTAATTTATAAATTAAACTTTATCATAAGTACATATGTGTAGGAAAAACCATAGTATATGTAGGGGTTCAGTACTATCCACAGTTTCAGGCATCCACTGGGGGTCTTAGGACATATCCCCTGATTTTAAAGGGGAACTACGGTATATGGAAAGCTTTGAAAGCAGAAAAACTTGTTTGGATCTCATCTTTTTTTGTATCAGTGTGCTAACTTTAAGTTTTTAAATTCTCCTGGGCATTAGTTTCTTCATAATAGGCTGATAATAGCTGCCTTTCAGGACTTTTGTTGGACATGGAAATAATATAATTAAGGCACCTTGCTTAGTTGCAGCACAAATATATGTGCTCAGTACATTGTGGGTACCACTATTGTGATATGGTATAGGCATTCCTAAAGTCAGCTAAAACATAACAGTTTCTATTGATTAGTAAAATTATCATGGACTTAAATATTTTCTTATTTTTAATGCATTTTTAACAACATAAGAGCTCAAAACTAAAATTATAGGCCTTTGAAGTGTCTATCAGAACTCATCTTTTCTCCCTTAGGTTCCTTCTTAGCTTTCTCATTTTTCTGTTCCCGGAAATCATCTTCTGTCTGCCTTTCATATACAAGATAGCGTGTAGGGAGACAGCAGGGGTAGCTCCCTTTCTTTCTCTTAGATCAGGAACGTTTCTAGTACTATTGTTAGCATACTCTCCCCCCACCTCTTTACCTTTGCCTCTTGAAGGCCCTTTTTGGATCATTTTACAAAGCTTTTTTCCTAGTTTCCTTAGGATAGAGCCTAGGAGAATGATCAAAAGTACTTTTACTTACTATTTTAGTAAGTCTTTTTAAAAGTTACCTACGCATTTAAATTCAATTAATAGGATATATACTTTGTATTAATTATATTTATTTAAACATTGATTTCTAATTGAATGAGTCAAATCCTCCTCATATTTTCAGTAGAATCACAAACCTAATATGTTAGCTGCTTTTACGTGCTTCAGACACTTCAATTTATGCACTTACTTTATCAAATTGATTAAAACATTACTACAGAAATATTTTAAACTATGGATTTAATGTGTTCCTTCGTTACTTTAAAACTTATTTTAGTTCAGTAATCTTATCAGACCCTGTTTCTGTTAAGACCAAATAACAGGTTTTGGTTAGTGATCAGTTGATTCTTGGTTGGGATCTGTGGATTGGCTTCTTCTAAGATGATTAAAATTTGAGCCATTGTAAGAATTGCCTTCTGGCAGACTCTTGTTCTAATTTCATTAAAAAAAAAAAAGTAAAGTGGGTTCCCATCTAGAGCATTAATCTGTTAGGTGTTATGGAAAATACAAAGATAAAGAGACAACCCTTGTCCTTGCAGAAGTTATTACAAAAACAAACAAACCCAAAATATCAAAAGAGTTGGAGTTGGATAAGTCCAACCTTGGTTATATTAGTAATAAAATTTGTTATTATTATTCAAATGGCATTTCTCATCTAAGTCATAGAACTCAAAAAATAATTTGAGGACTATTTTCTCAATTCTTCTAAAGCTGGTAAATTTCTAATATTCTAGATTTATAAAACCTAAATCAGTCCATTATATGCCACCTAGGCACTTAGGACATTAGATCCTGATTCTCTCATAGAACCCTATGTGATAAGATGGGGAACTTAAATTCAAAGATTGGAGTTTCTCAGAGTTTTGTAAAGTATGTATTAGCATCAAGTTTGATCATCAGGACTATTTAGTTTCCCTTTAAAATACTTTTTCTGAGCTAAGGTTAGTATTATACCTTTAGTATATATTGAGAAATGATATAAGAAGAATATTTTTAAAATCTTTTGTATCACTTTATAAATTATATGATTGTCTAACCACTGTGCTGTACGTCTGAAACTAATACAAAATAACACTGAATGTAAACTATAATTGAAAAATAAAATTTTAAAAATCTTTTATATGAAATAATAGTTGTCATTCATTGAGTACTTTATTATGTCCCAGGCATAATTTGTTACAAATACTAAATACTTTAATGCTATCAGTGATGCTGGTGACAATCTAACCATTTCATTAATGATGAAACTAAGAATAAAAAGATTCTAATGGCTTGCTTGATATCCTACAGTTTGTATGTGGGTTAGAATCTAGCTTCTTTTTTTTCATTAAAAAAATTTTGNATCATCTTCTGTCTGCCTTTCATATACAAGATAGCGTGTAGGGAGACAGCAGGGGTAGCTCCCTTTCTTTCTCTTAGATCAGGAACGTTTCTAGTACTATTGTTAGCATACTCTCCCCCCACCTCTTTACCTTTGCCTCTTGAAGGCCCTTTTTGGATCATTTTACAAAGCTTTTTTCCTAGTTTCCTTAGGATAGAGCCTAGGAGAATGATCAAAAGTACTTTTACTTACTATTTTAGTAAGTCTTTTTAAAAGTTACCTACGCATTTAAATTCAATTAATAGGATATATACTTTGTATTAATTATATTTATTTAAACATTGATTTCTAATTGAATGAGTCAAATCCTCCTCATATTTTCAGTAGAATCACAAACCTAATATGTTAGCTGCTTTTACGTGCTTCAGACACTTCAATTTATGCACTTACTTTATCAAATTGATTAAAACATTACTACAGAAATATTTTAAACTATGGATTTAATGTGTTCCTTCGTTACTTTAAAACTTATTTTAGTTCAGTAATCTTATCAGACCCTGTTTCTGTTAAGACCAAATAACAGGTTTTGGTTAGTGATCAGTTGATTCTTGGTTGGGATCTGTGGATTGGCTTCTTCTAAGATGATTAAAATTTGAGCCATTGTAAGAATTGCCTTCTGGCAGACTCTTGTTCTAATTTCATTAAAAAAAAAAAAGTAAAGTGGGTTCCCATCTAGAGCATTAATCTGTTAGGTGTTATGGAAAATACAAAGATAAAGAGACAACCCTTGTCCTTGCAGAAGTTATTACAAAAACAAACAAACCCAAAATATCAAAAGAGTTGGAGTTGGATAAGTCCAACCTTGGTTATATTAGTAATAAAATTTGTTATTATTATTCAAATGGCATTTCTCATCTAAGTCATAGAACTCAAAAAATAATTTGAGGACTATTTTCTCAATTCTTCTAAAGCTGGTAAATTTCTAATATTCTAGATTTATAAAACCTAAATCAGTCCATTATATGCCACCTAGGCACTTAGGACATTAGATCCTGATTCTCTCATAGAACCCTATGTGATAAGATGGGGAACTTAAATTCAAAGATTGGAGTTTCTCAGAGTTTTGTAAAGTATGTATTAGCATCAAGTTTGATCATCAGGACTATTTAGTTTCCCTTTAAAATACTTTTTCTGAGCTAAGGTTAGTATTATACCTTTAGTATATATTGAGAAATGATATAAGAAGAATATTTTTAAAATCTTTTGTATCACTTTATAAATTATATGATTGTCTAACCACTGTGCTGTATGTCTGAAACTAATACAAAATAACACTGAATGTAAACTATAATTGAAAAATAAAATTTTAAAAATCTTTTATATGAAATAATAGTTGTCATTCATTGAGTACTTTATTATGTCCCAGGCATAATTTGTTACAAATACTAAATACTTTAATGCTATCAGTGATGCTGGTGACAATCTAACCATTTCATTAATGATGAAACTAAGAATAAAAAGATTCTAATGGCTTGCTTGATATCCTACAGTTTGTATGTGGGTTAGAATCTAGCTTCTTTTTTTTCATTAAAAAAATTTTGTTTTCAATTACAGTTGACATACAATATTATATTAATTTCAGGTGTACACCCCAGTGATTAGACATTATATAACTTACTAAATGGTCATTCCAATAAATCTCATGCCCATCTGACACCATATATGATAATTAGAATATTACTGACTACACAGTCAAACCTTGGTTCTCAAAGGCCACTCATCTTAAACAATTTGAATCTTGATGAAGTTGTTCACAGGAAAAAATGTCATTAAACAAAACTTTAGTTCTCCACTCAACCAACCCTTTCATGCTGACAGCTGTAAGATCAGTCACACATCTCTCAGGCAACAAACAAAGGGGAGAATATACACGTATGAGTCAGTTTACTGCTAAACCTCTTGTTAATATCTCGGGAAACTGGGCTGTGAATATTTTTCTAATGGGGAAAAATGATTTGGTTTTCAAACTAATTGCTTCTCTAACAGCCTTCCAGAACAAATTAAGTTTGAGAACTGAGGTTGCACTGTATTCCCTATTTGTACTTTACATCCCCAAGACTATTTGGTAACTACGAATTTGTACTTAGTTCTTTCACCTTTTTCACCCATCCCCCAACTCTCCTCCCATCTGGCAACCAACAAAATGTTCTCCGTATCTGAGTTTGTTTCTGTTTTGCTTGTTCATTTATTTTGTTTTTTAGTTTTAATTGTTGATAGATATATATTTATTGCCATTTTATTCANTTTTCTTGTCTGGGAAGCTCTTTATCTTTCCTTCGATTCTAAATGATAGCTTTGCTGGATAGAGTAACCTTGGTTGTAGGTTCTTGCTTTTCATCACTTTGAATATTCCTTCCCAATCTCTTCTGGCCTGCAAAGTTTCTGTTGAGAAATCAGCTGACAGTCTTAGGAGAGCTCCTGTGTAGGTAACTAATTGCTTTTCTCTTGCTGCTTTTAAGATTCTCTTTTTGTCTTTAACCTTTGGCATTTTAATTATGATGTGTCTTGGTGTGGGGCCTCTTTGGGTTCAGTTTGTGACTGCATTTCCTGGACTTGTATATATATTTCCTTCACCAGGTTAGGGAAGTTTTCCATCATTCTTCTTCAAAATAGTTTTACAACTTTTTCTTTTCTCTCTTCTCCTTCCCATGCCCCCATGATGCCAATGTTGGTACCTTGAAGTTGTTCCAGAGGATTCTTACACTATCTTCACATTTTTGGATTCTTTTTTCTTTTTGCTGTTCTGATTGGGTGTTTTTTGATTCCTTATATTTCAAATCACTGTTTTGATTTTTGGCTTCATCTACTCTACTGTTGATTCCCTGTAAATTAATCTTCATTTCAGTTAGTGTATCCTTCATTTCTGACTGGTTCTTTCATGGTTTCCATGATCTTTTTTTTTCAACTTACAAGAAAAAGTTTATTTAGAAAGTTACAGAGGTAGTAAAGTGAGCCAGCCGGACTGTGTAGGCTCAAGGAACAAGTTACAGAGGTGGAAGAAGGGTCCTTGTTGCTTAGGAGAGACAAAAGCAAAGGTAACACACCTGGGGGAAGGAAGAGAGGAAAGAGAAATGCACAGGCATACTTCCGAGAGGGAGAGTGTGCTCCATTTCCTTTTTAATGATGTTAAATTTCCCTTTAAGTCATCTACTCTTCCTTTAAGTTCATTGAGCATCCTTCTAACTTTTGTTTTGAACTCTGCATCTAGTAGATTCCTTGTTTCCATTTTGTTTAGTTCTCCTTCAGGAGTTTGGTTCTGTTCTTTCATTTGGGATGTGTTTCTTTGTATCATTTTGGCATCCTCCCGGTAGAGCTGCTATGTCTCCTGGGCTTGCTAGAGTAGCCTAATGTAGTAGGTGTCCTGTAGGGTTCAGCAGCAGAGCCTCCCCATTCACCCAAGCTGGGCACCACATGTGTACTCCTACCCCACCATGTGGGCTGTGTACACCCTTCTGGTGTAGTTGAGCCTTGATTTCTGTTGGCACCTTAATGGAAGGAACTTACCCCCAGGCCAATCTGCTGCAAGGACTGGCTGCAGTCACCGACCACTGACCTCTGACCATCGTGGAGGATCAGCTGTGCAGGGGCCCACACCATGTAGTAGGACTTACTTCAGTGGGGCTCTGGTGCCTGCTGAGTCTGCCCCTTGAGTGTGTCACTTGTAGAAGTGATTGGGTGAGCCTTCAATATAGTCTGAAACTGTCTACCATATGTGTTGGCTCTGGGGCCTCCCAGGAGATGCATGTCAAGGTCAGCTTCTGCCTGGGGCCTCCCAGTATGAGCTACAAAGTGATCTGCAGATGGCTGCTACTTGTGCTGGGCTTAGAAGTGCCCAGGTGATTCCAAACTGTGAACCAAGTCCCACTGCTGCTAGTGCTGGGCCTGGGGCCACTTATCGAGAGGTATGGGGCTTGCCAAAGCCAGATGGCTGTTTGTTTAAGATATTTTAGGAAAGTGAAGCATGAGCCAAGAAAGGCCATTCGTATGGAAAAGCCACTGGAAACAACTTGGGTGGGCTGGCAAGTTGGGTGTGGTGGGGTCTCAGGGAATCAACGGGGGGCAGGTTGATGAAGACTCAGATATGGCGCCTGTGGGGGAAGGGCCCAGAAAAGGAACAGTGGCCTCTGCCAGCACTTTTGTCTGGGAGAAATCTGTCCCTTCAGCTCTTGCCTTGATGCCAGACAATTCAGTTCCTCCCTTTATGTCCCTGGTGCCTTACAAGCTGCTCCCCTAGTGCTGGAAAGGGGTAAATGAGTTCAAGTAAGTCCATGTGCCTGTGTGTGGGCCCTTTAACAGTATATGCCTGTGACTCCAGGTGTCCTCCTTCTTACCTACAATCCCCACTAGTGTTTACAGTGAGAAGTTATGGGGACTTCCCTTCCTGGCACTGGAACCCTGGGTTGGGAGGCCTGGTGTGGGGCTGGGACCCCTCACTCCTCATGGGGGACCCTGTAGCTGAGATATCCCTGCCGATTTTTATCCACCGCACGCGGGTGTGGGAACAGCCTGTTCTGCATATCCACCCCTCCTACCAGTCTCCATGTGGCTTCTTTATATCCTTAGTTATAGGACTTCCTTCCATTCTGCTATATTTGAGGCAGTTCTGAATGATGGTTCTGTAGTTTAGTTGTAATTTTGATGTGGTTGTGGGAGGACTCAAGTACCACATTTTTAGCTTGTTCTCAATTCAGTGCCTCTTCTAATTCTGTACTGCCTCTCTACTTTGGCTTTTATTATAATGCTCCAACCAATAAATTCTCCTTGGAGGTCAGCGTTGAGAGAAAGGTTTTCTCCTAAAAGCTGGAGTGTTTCCTTCTATTAGACAATAAGTAGTTTATAAATCATACTGCTACTTTCTTTTTTGTTTCTGAATTGCCATGAACTTCAGATTCATTGTGAATAGCTTTAGCCCAAGATTCTGATATTATTTCTGCCTAAGGCTTTTGGTGTTTTTTTCTGTGTTACTTTTTAAATGCATATGTGTTTTATTAAGAAGTAACAAGTCTTTTTGAAAAGAGAATCTAAGCAATAAAACACCGGTGTTATATTAATAAAATAAAATCAGATAGTATTTTAAAGCATTTTGATAAATCAGTAATGAGTCAAAAAGCTTATTTTTTTTACATAGTGAATCTCTCTCTTTGACTTCAAGGTGAAGGGAATTACATTCTTTACTTGAGAGTAAGTAAAGAATAGCTTTAGGTATATATTTTGGGAGAAGAATGACACTGTTGTAATTCTGTTTGCCTCTTGCCATATAACATTATGTATTAAATATGTTTTAGAATTAGAAAGCTAAAAATACATTGGTTTGGTTTTTTATTTCTTTTTCTTCTTACAACCTATATGAAAACCATTTATAATTATTAATCACTTGACTAAAAGTAGTGTATTGCAGTCCTACTTTACAAGCCATATTTCCCCAATTTTGTAGTTCTCCCTTTATTGTATATATTTTAAAGATGTTGGACTTTGTGAGATTTGCATCTTTAATGATACTAGGAAATTCTTAATCTTTGCAATTTCTAATACTCTAACCTGAAATCTTTTTATCATGGATCAGTTTTAAATTACAAATACTTCCTAGAAAAGTACTTAAAAGGCTTTAAAAAATTTAGATGATTTTTAGTAGATACCTTTCCTTAATAGTGCCATTATTTATAATTTATAAGCATTTTTGTTACTATACTAAAGCTATAGGATTTTTAGGCTTTTATGGTAATTACCAACGAATAGTTAGAAATAATTACCTATAAGTTGGAAATAGATACTTTTAATTAAATTCAGATTTGAGACAAATCTGCATTGAACAAAATTATTTTTAGTTAAATCAGATTTAGTTTGGAGACAAATGGGAACAGAATGGATAAAATAAGCTAATTTTTAGTAGTTTTAGAGGTTATTTAAACACTTCTAAAAACCTGTTATTTGAAGTATTGTTCAGATGCTAAAGGATAATAGAGAAGAATTATCTGAAGAAGCTCTGAAGAAAATTAGATTGACTTAAAGAAAATGTGATGACTAGAGTTTAATCAAGGAAAAGTACCTGTATCCAACATCAGGTACAGATGCCTTCCATCTGCCTATTCATATTCTCATTTCACAGAGAACATAAAACTGCCTACCATGGACACTTCTACAATAGGAACTGTTACAATGCCACTGGAAGGCTCCTTCAGCTGTGCTCAGCTCAAACTGAATGCTGGAGCATCAGTTTGAAAATAAAAAGACTAATGAGTTGGGGGTCTTTATGTGCCTAGTATTCTTGGCAGTAATTAATAGTAGGTGGTGTACTGAGGGTCAAAAGCTCTTCTTTTTAGAGGTTAGCAGAACATACCTATCTGATAAGATTAAACTAATGTGGCTTTTGGTGTTAATATCTAAAGTAGCAGGTTGCTGTAGTGTATTTGGGATGGTAGTCATGGCCTTGAGAGATTATGAAAAAAGAACTGACATGTGAACTCTTTAATGAGAAAATGTTGGATTCAGATATATAGCATTTACCCTTTTTTCTTACAAGCAGATGGAAACTGATTTTTGCTTCCAAAATATTTTACATATGTTTGTTATGTATAAAAGTTTTTTCCCCCAAATAACTTTATATATATGTCATTAAGTATTTTTTCTTCTCTGTTTTCTTTCTGTGCTGTTTTTAAGTGCTAAAGATTATTTGAGGTAAATCATTGTGAAACTGAGGCTAATTTAGGTACACAGACGTGATTAATATATTTCTGTTCACTCCATAGTTTTCTGATTATTTTACTGGATATTTCAATGGACAGTACTGGCTTTGGTGGATATTTCTTGTACTTGGTAAGTTTATTCTTAATGCATTTCACTTTGATTAATTTGCATTTAGTTTAATTTTGGTATTTCCTAAAATGTTAAGGTGTAAATGCATTATGTTGCAACTTAGGTGGAAATAAATCTACTGTAAAATTCTCATATCCAAACATATTATTATGTCAGCTTTTCAAATAATTCTACATAGTACTCCAGATTTCTTAGATTGAAAGTTCAGAGCTATTCAATTTAATAGAATCACTGGTTTAATGACAATCGAATACTACAAAACCTGAAAATCCTAAATAATTGTGTTCGGTGTTTATCTTGGAAAATATACATACGTAATTTTTTTTAATGGTCTTGGGAAATGCTGAGAGTAAGAGAATTGGATGTTCTATCCATTCTCTTATTTTTGGATCACTGAAACATTCCTTATATTTTTGAAATGCACCCTGCATTAATCATTAATCAGCTAGGCATAAGGAAAGGTTTCATGCCTGATGATCACTGTGCTTCTGTTGAGTTGTCTTCTTATAAGGCATGTCTTTTTAATAATATTGATGAATTTTGGACATCCAATTTTTGTTCCCTTGTGTTTTTCACTTTGGATGTATGATGATTAAGTTAATCTTAAAATTACATTATACCTTTAACCCACATTTCAAATTTATTTACTGACACAAAGTATATAGGGAGTCGCAAAAAAATGTATACACACTTTGAATGGTTAATTCCAATAGGTTAAATCTGAAAAGAAAGAAACATCAGTTGAGCTATCAGCTCGTAAATGTGTATACATTTTTGGGGGACACACTATACATTTTGTTTCTACTTAGGTTTAAGATCCCACATTTCTATAGTAGAATAATTATACCAGAAAATAATAGCATTTCAGTAGGTGGCAGTCTTCTCCTTGAGTTTTTATTTAGTCCTGCCATTGGATCTTTAGGATCTTTTGGGACACAAATTCTTAGTGGTCAGTTAAGGTCACTAAAGATCCTGGATTCTTTTGCTAATAACTTTAGTGAAGTTATTCTAGTGTTCTGATTTTGTTGGGCAGTAAGACTCATACAAGTTTCAGCCAGTTTCTTATATTGTTGTATTCTGACTGCCTGAATTCTGTGTTTTTTATTGAGTTTCTTACTTAAAAATGAAAAAAAATGTATAAAGTTTTTTAGGTAGTTAAGCATATTAATTGAGTATGTTTTCTTTTAAATTGTTAAGAGATTGAGGAATCTTAAGAAAACAACTGTGGGGCAGAATGGAGTGCAGAGGACAACCCCAATTTCACATCAGAGCCATGATCTAACATTTAGGGGAATGTGAAAGTTTCATCCATGATAAAAATGCTCTCACACACACTCAAGACTGTTGAGCACATTGTAGAACTCAGAAACAATAGCTGCTGAGTGATTAACAGTTTCTAGGTATGAATTGGCTTATTTTAGAAAATGCCTGAGCAGAACAAAATATGTCTTAGGAACAGCAGCTTCATAGACAAAAGAAGGGATTTCACAAATTATTTTGGTTTACATTTTTCAATACTTTTACATTTGGATCGCGATGTCCATTATCTTTAAACAGCATCTGGAAGGACATGGGGTAGAATTCAGAGTGAGAGTCACAAATGAAAGGAGTTAGGATATGGGAAGCAGATGGGACTAGATTTAGCTAAAATTTATACCACTTGTTTAAGTCACTGTTTGTATATTTCTTCTATCCTTCCTTTCTAATTTATTATAACTGCTTTTTTTTGGTGCTTTGGTTACTTGGAGTTGGGATACAAATTTAGTTGGGGCACTGCATTTTTAACTGAGAAACTCTTCCTCCTTGTGAGGAAGGTTGCATGCATATATGTCTTCTGTTTTTGTTTTTGACCCCACAATTACCTGGTTAAAAATTTACTGGAGTTAATAAGTGTTTTTCTTAGAATTGTACTCTTAAGTATATCAAAGACTTAACTCTACTAATAATGCTACTGCTTTTTATACTTAGCAATATTTTTCATCTGAAACATTTCATAGGCATTGTTTTATTAATTATTAAAGATACCTGTGATGCAAATGGTTATTATTTAAAAATACTGTTTACTGAGGAGAACACTGAGATATGAGATACAACCCAGATCATTTAAGAAATTACTAGAGTGGCTGCTTCCCAAGTCATCTTTCCTGATTCTTAATTTTTTTTATTACTTAAAAAATAAGAACTAATAATTATTTACATAATGCACATATCTTTAAATATAGATTTCACTGATGACAGACACTTGATATTGCTAGACAGGCTTATTAGTTTTATCCCACAATTGTTAGCGTTAACATCCATACATTCTCTCTTGAACACTATTTTTTATCAGTAAATATGTTTTAGTTTGTTTAATAGCTACATTAATTGAAAATTTGGTAAAATGGGATTTCTGTGAGTTGAATCAGTTTAAGTACATTAGATAACTTTGCCATTTAAAGAAAGCATTTAATAAATGTATATTCTTGTGTAATTCTGAATTTTCATGGCTAGATTTGCTTTAATTTTTACTTTAGATAATTTAGGCTTAGTAAATTGAAGTAATTTTTAGGTGGCAGTAAAATTTTATCATATTTCCTGATGGTGGAGTTATCATTATAGTGTAAAATATACTATGGAATGAGTGGAATTCTACAGATAAATTTCTTAAGCCAAGAGGTTCTTGTTTATAATTGTCTCTCTCAAATATATCATGCCCCCTTTCTGTATAATAACGTAATATATCTGTATTATTTCAACTTTCTCAGGCCTGCTCCTTTTCTTCAGAGGATTTGTTAATTATCTGAAAGTCAGAAACATGTCTGAAAGTATGGCAGCTGCTCATAGAACAAGATATTTCTTCTTATTGTAGAGGTAAGGCATTAATATATTAACTCTTTTTATTCCTTTATTTATTCATATTCCTCAGAAACATATTAAGAGCTTAGTTAATATGTACTCATATTATTTACTCATATAGCATATTTAAATATTAAATATTAAATTTAATAAGTTGTGAACTGTTGAAGATAATTTAGATTTGTAAAATTGAATTCCACAAATTTTAATTTTTTAAATTTATAATGAGTAAACAGAAACTTTGACCATAGACTTTATACAAAATAACCACCAGCACAAAATTTGAAGGCTTGAAAAACAAAATATGACAAAACACTTACACAGAAGAGATAGGCATTCTTCATAAAATAATGTGATATCCACATAGCAATCTGGTGTAAAGAACAAAAAGCAAATCTGTGATTGAAAAGCAATTTGCCATGCACTGATCTTAACAAACTGGATCAAGGAATGAAAGTTGTATGAAAAAAATAGGAGCTCTGTTACTGTTTTCTTAATGTATGACAGTTTATATTAACGATGAAGGCTACAACTTGAATAAGTGGAAATACAAAGAAATGAGCAGAGATGTCTGTCTAGTTATCCAGTGAGTTTCTGGAGGCTGTATTTATAGCAATAGCATTTACTTATTGTGCAGCTAGTAGCATATTCACATAAAGAGACCTCATATCTACTCTTCTCGTTTTTAAAGCAAGCACCATACACTTCATATCTATAAATGATTTGAACTTTTAAAGTATTTGAACTGCATAAGCGAAATCTCTGCTAAAATACTTCTAGATTATGTACAAGTACAAAATGTTTCAAGGTTGCTATATACTAAGTATATTCTTTTAGTAAATTGTGTGGTTTGTTATTTGCGTTGCTTAAATTTTATTTTTAACTTATATGAATTTTATGTAAGGTAACATAATTTACTTATTTCTGCTGAACTGTATAATGAATACAGTTGTATTTCTGGATCATATTAAAGTATCATTATAAATGTTCCATTAACATCTCCCTCCCAAAGATGTCACATTTTTTCTTTAATCAGTAAAATGCCTTTGCACACAGTGACATTAAGAATTTGTCAGTTTTAACTGTAAGATAAAAGACAAAGTAATTTTACTAATTTAAATGATATTCTGTGAGTATTTAGTATGATTATTTTGTATACATTTTAAGAGTCTAAAATACAATGTAAAAGTTTTCTAGATGGTCTCCTAAACTTAAGAATATATTCTGATAAATGCTACTCTGTCATTTTTATTAAAAGAAAATTATACTTGATATAATACTGCTATAAAATGGGTTCTTGTATTATCATTTAGATAAATGCAGTGTAATACATTTTAAGACTAATTCTTTCTTTGTCTCTAGAGTTCATCAACCAGACATTACTTTCTTACATCAATGTGAAATTTCCACATCATCTTGTAAACCTGCAACTTTAATAGGATAGAAGACTACTAATAACAGAAGACAAATTAGTTAAAAGATAGACCTTCAAAATGGAATGACAGGGTGGTTTATGCTTAAAAGCCATTTCTGTTTATTCCCTTAAATATTTATATTTCATTTGTTTTGTGCAGTTGCATATGTGCCCCTTTGAAAGATTTGCATATACTCGAAAGACACCATAAAGTTGTAGCAGTAAAGTCCACATTTTGTTAATCAGTGTTTGATTAATTCAAAGAGTTGAGTGATAAACAGTCTTCTAGCATGTAAATGCCATTGACTTCTGACCTGACTTTTTAGTATAATAAAAATGAAATTATTAACCATGTCAAATGCTTTAGTTTCTGGCTCTCAACACCCTTTGTTAAATATAAAGTTTTTTGAAACCTGCAGTGCTGATTATTAGAAAGGCTTTGTCAGATTTTTGAACATGTTTTTAACATCATTACTTAGCAAAGCTCTTTCTGTAAATAACCATGCATAAACTACTTTCTGCATTGTTTTCTTAGGAAATTGTGTCTAGGTATCTTTTCATTAATTTTAAAATAAGTGAACTTAATATATAGAGAAAATTTGGGTATTAAAGATAGAGTTGTTTTAGGACAAATTTTAAGAAAATATGGTTATTCCATATATCCTTTATAAGAAAAAAGCTTTTAAGGGACATGCCAGTTTTAGGGTTTCTCAAATTAGAAGCTTGGTTTTTAGCATTGCCCGTCTTAGAGATTCTTACAGGAAAAGATTGTATTAGATATTATATTTATTTCATTTAAGACATTTTTGAAAATTAATTTTTTGAATAAGGTATTCTCATTTGTCTTTTAAAAAAGCCAATAAAAGTATCTTTCAGTATCATTGTAATAATTTTTAGATATTTAGTTTGTTTAATTTAGCAAATAAAAACTTGTACTATTAATAGCTTCTTGCTTTGTGATTGTAGGATTAACTTGTAAAAATCATATGCTTATATGCAAAATATGTTTTCAAGTTATGGAAATGTGTCTGTGGAATAATGGGGGTGTGGGGTGTGTTTGTGTGTTGAGAGAGAGTATGTGTGTCACCATTATTACAACTGGAATTGACATTCATAAGCTACTACATTTTGCAAACCGTTTTATGTCTCATTTATTTTTCTTTTTAGTTATATCTTTTTGAATGCCAACATTAAAAATGATGGGAATTATGTCATCTTTTAAACTTAAAAAAAAAAATACAGGTAAATAGAACATATAAAATTGATTGTTTATTATTAGACACCTGACTACTACTAAAAGATACACCTAGAACTATTCAGGGACATTTTCCATTTCTGGAAAAAAAAAATTTATTTTGCCCTATAATTTCTTTTGTATTTATCTGTACTTTCTGATTTATTTCATTGTCTTTGATAATAAAACATACATTTTTGTTTTTGTTAATTGAGCCTATTTTTTGTTTGCCCTCACTTAGTCTCCTCCCCTGCAGGGAACTGTATTATTGATTTAAGTACCTGTGTTCCACCCCTTGAAGTAGAACAGTAGCATGGGGTAAAGAAAACAATACTTAATTTAGTTGCCTGACTTGGAAATTAATTAAAATTAGAATGTACTTATAAGAAATGTAAACTCATGTTAGATCCCTTTTTAATCTCCTATTGATTTTCTATAGACCTATACTTTGTTCTTTTAATAATTTTTAAATGAAATTAAGCTATGATGCATGCTAATTTCAAATTATTAGATCAGATACTTGGTTTCTGAGTATGAATGTGTCACTTTTGATCCAACATCAAAACTTCACATTTTGTTTTGATTTTGTTCCCCCAAATCTGTAAGATTCAAGTATGTGTGTTACCTAATTCTCTATAATTGGTACAGTTCAATGGTAGCCTTAAATCTCATCATCCAAGCATAGGAATCGGAATGTTATTTTTTAAAACCTTTACATTCCCTTTCAGATTTATCAAATCTTGCACATTTCCCTTTATTTCCTGTGAGCTTGGATAGAACAGCTGCTGGTGTGTTTTGGGGACACATCCACCTTTGTACTCTGCCTTAAAGATTGAAAATCGAAACCCTTGTTAGGGTGTCTAAATTTTTGAATGAATGTGAACTTGGGCTTGGAAGTTAATGAAAAAATTTATTAAATTATTTCTATTATATTTGAATGAGCTAGTCATGACCAGATAATCCATTTTTATGTGTTTATGAAATAAACTGATATTAAGATAAAAATATATTTTTCTGTATTAAGGATAGATTTTAGAAATTTAAAAGTAAAGACATCCTGTTATACTCAGTAAAAATGAAAATCTCTGTTTACTAGAAAAAATATAAATCTCTAGCCTCCTCCCCCCTTTTTTTTGGTCTATAAGATATATCCCATACCTTTCAGACTGTTTATGATTTTCAACCTGTTAAAACAATAATGACTAATATTTCCAGTAAAACCTCCCCTAACAGGAAAAGTGGATCCTGAAAGTCCATTTTCAGAAAATTCAAGGTTCCTTAATTTTTTTCAGCTGCTCTGTACTGTCCCCAAAAGCACAAAAGTAATGCTAGTGCATCTGATACTGTGTTTAATTAGAGTGACATATATCCTGAGCTTGCTCAGAACAGCCCTGGTTATTTCCATTTTCTCATCTTAAATAGGGCGTCTTCTCACTCTCAAATTGTCCTAATTTGGAGGATGAGTTATATGACCACTAGATATATAACTGCAAACTGGACTGAGAAGTGACTACCTAAACTACCTGCCGCTTGAGAGGAGGAACTGGAGTATTAGGGCAGGAGCCAATTATCGTTACAGCCTTTTCTAGCCAAATCATTTGTTTGGTTTGTAGAACATGTGCAGTATCTTTTTTTTTAAAAATAGAAATTATTGTATTTGAGTGATTCTAGCTTATGATAAATAGTAAACGGTGAGCTTTATATTTTTAAACTGCTGTTAAATGTTATTTTAATGAATTCTTCAAATAGTCATGTGGAGTATTGGTGTATTATTTTTTAAAACCTCGTTCTTGATAAAGTTTAACTGTTAGGTGATATTGTGCCATTTATTATTATAGGAATGTCCTTGCCCATATATAAAATATGCTGATGTGTTTTACTTGTTAATAAAGTTCTATAGATGTGGCAATGTGAACCTGTCAATGCATCCTTTTGAAAATCAGTTTGATTCACAATATATTATCACCACCTTGGCCTCACCAAAATGTTTATATGGCAAACTGTTGTGTAAGGAAAACAACTGGCATGAAATTAGGTTGGAGTGTGCAACATTAACTTGTCATTGTAATTTGTATGTTAGGAGATAGATTGCAGTTTAATTTTAATAAATACAAGAAAATCAGCTTTAGGAAAGTAATTTGTGTTCATTTCTACTTTGCAAAAGATCAGTGGTCACCATAGGTAAGGCCTGCTTTGGGGCTTGTATTCTTATTTGGGACATGGGACTTAAAAAGCCAAAACTTCCCTCAAATTTAAAAAAAATAAAAATACTCATTTCATACGTTATAAAAGTTAAAAAGGTAATGTTTATCTTGAACTCAACATGTTTGCTTGTTTTAACCTTTCTTTCTTGATGTTTTCACGTTAGCTTTCATTTTTTTTGTTTTGAGAGATTGAGCTACCTGTTTCTAAAAAACCCACTTGGTTTTCACAAAAACCGTTTTAAAAAATCCTTCAGCTAAATAGAAAAGAGAGAGGGCATTACCCTTTTAACAGCTGAGGTTATAGTAAACTGAAACCACACACTCTGGTTCACAGAACCTTAGAAGTTGTTTCCCCATCTCAGGCTTGTAAAGAGAAACATCTTATTCCCCATGCCTTTTGCGTTTGTTTTAATTAAGTCAACACTTTACCTTCAGTGACACAAGAAGGGGCATAGGCTATCCTTCCTTAGAACGTGTTTTTTTTCTTTTTTCTTTTTTTTTTTTTTTTTTTTAGCCTTACCAGAAGCATAACAAGATCAGCAAGTAAAACAAAAGTGCCCAAAGCTCCGAAGAAATTTGGAGGTGAGTCTGTCCTCAGAATACAAAAAGTTGTAAATAACCTTGTTAGAAAACATGAACTCTTCAGAGGTACAAGAATAGTTCATGTGCATAAATACCTTGTGCGGAAATACATTTATTCCTTTTGCATCAAACTTAGTTTCTCAGCTACCTGAATTCCTGCATAGTGATTTGGTTGGCTTTGCAATCTATGGGACTTTGGTTCTAAAATTTTAATTCACATTATTCATTCAGAAATAATACCTAAAGACTCTTAATTGCTAGCAAGCATTGGTGACCACTCATCCTAATATGATAATAGGTGGTGATGAAATAAGTATCACTTCCTAAACCCATATTTTTTAAATGATGAGCAGATTATTGAAAACATGTAGCATTAGTTCATTAAGAGTTATGAATTTTTTTTTTAAATATGTATTGATTTCAGAGAGAGGAAAGGAGAAGGAGAGAGAGAGATAGAAACATCAATGATAAGAGAGTCATTGATCAAGCCCGCAACCCGGGCATGTGCCCTAGCAGGGAATCGAACCCTGATCGCCTGGATCCTAGGTGGACGCTCAACCGCTGAGCCACGCCCAGCTGGGCAAGAGTTATGAACTTTTAAAAGACATCTGAGTGTTACATCTTAATCCTATGGAACCTCATGGGATGAATTCTTTTTTTAAAATAAAATATATTTTTTATTGATTTAAGAGAGAGGAAGGGAGAGGGAAAAAGAAACATTGAGGAGAGAAAATCTTTGATCAGCTGCCTCCTGCGCGCCCCCTACTGGGGATTAAACCCGAAACCCAGGCATGTGCCCTGACTGGGAATTGAACTGTGACCTCCTGGTTCATGCTCAACCATTGAGCAACACTGGCCAGGCATGGGATTAATTCTTTATTGAATGATTCTTAGGACCTCTCTAGAGCTGTGATTATTATTCAATATGGTGCATTATAATCAACTGGGAGTTTGAGGGAAATTAACATTCCAGCTTCAGTTTCCAGAGGTTCCAATGCAATACATCTGCCCCATGACAGCATATGGCTTCTCCTAGTTTGAAGTCCTGGGATTGGGTCTTAGTAGCACAGCTGATTCCTCTCTCTTCATTGTGTCCTATATATCTAGCTCCTGATGGAAAGTTACAAATGTTAGGATCTGTGTATCAGCCAGACTCCTTGCGGGGCAAGGAAAAGGCACATAAAGCAGATCTTTATGTTAACGAGCATTTCTTGAGTTCTTGCTTTATGACGTCTGAATGAGAGCCCTTCTGGTTTTCATGCCTTTGCACATAGCACACCTCTGCAGGGCTGTATCACCAGGGCCGTGTGGGCATGGTGACAGAATGGCACTGTCTACAGAGTGGAGAAGGCAGTTATTTTCTCCATAATCCTGTAGAGCAAGCAGAATTGGATTATCATATAACTGATTTTTCTTGCCTGAAAAAATGTCTTCTCTCCTCTAGCCTTTAGGAGCCTATGGATTATTAAGAGAGGCAGCTTTGTGTAACAGAAAGACTGGGTTTTTGGAGCCAGATTAACCCTGGACTCAAATTCCACTGTCATGCAAGCTCAGGCAGTTTGCTTAACCAAAGCCTCAGTTTCCTCACCTGTTTGTTGGGAAGCACTGTATGTACTGAGGATTAGGTGAGATTTATGCAAAAGAAAAAGTTAGCATTATTTTTATGTCTTTGCTGAGTGTGCTTCCTGACCAGACTGCCTGTTAGTGTTAAGCAGATGCCTCCGGGACTTGGAATAAGCCTGTGCCTGATGTGGGCATTGTATCTGCCAGCCCCTTTGAAAAGCGTGATTATAATAGGTTCATGTTCACCTACCCTTGGCTCCTTACATCTTCTCTGCGGCAAGTGGAATTAAAGCAAAAGTTGCTTAGATGACAATTGATATTAAGGGACACAATCACGCAAACAGAGGAAGGGAGTTGCCTGTTTACTAAGCAATAAAGCACTCCGGCAGGTAGGAAGAGAGGAAGCTCACACAGACCTCTCCTGGTGGAAACTTGGAGGGCCTGGAGGCCAGTCCCTCAGAGTTTTAACTGCAAATTGATGAGATGATTGGTGACTCACTGCTTTTGCTCAGGGCAGTGAAATTCTGGT